TGTAACGTAAGACAGGACCCTTTCAGGACATGTTGAAGGCACCGCCGTAAACAGAGTGAGAATAAAGGAGACTTAAATCATTGTTGACGCAGAAGGAAAAAAAAGAACAATTACTGCAGAGACGTGTTAGTTAGCACGAGAGCCAAATCGCCTGCCCTTTTCTCAGGAATCATGATCTGTTTGGACCCATCTGATGACTTTGGCCTTTCTCATGCTTTACCTGTTGGTGCTTGTTCCAATAATTGTGCGTTCGCCCACTGCCAACTCTTGGACATCCACCAAGTGCCACATGTAAGCCACATGCCGCCGACACGGTCTTTAGCAAATTAATCAGGAGCATTTTTAACTGACAGCATCAACAGCGTTTCAGAAATTCTCTGTGAAAAGTAGCCGGCTCGTCTTTTCACCTGTTTCTCTGTAAACAACAAGCACAAGTGTGAAGACAGACGACGGGTAATTAGGCAGTGATTAGAGCAAAGCATCAAACCCTCACCCCTGGATAAGTGTGTAAGACAATACCTCTGTGGTAGCATTGCTATTACAGTGCAAAGCAAACGCGCCCTGGGAATACGGTGCAGAGGGAAGAGAGCGGAAAAAAGATGCAAATATTTTTGCTCCAGTCTTGAGTTGTTGAAGGGTGACATTGATGGAAGGTTGAGGCGTTTTCTTTTCCCCCCACCGTCTCTGTGCGAGAGTCCCACGACACGCCATGCGGTAAAAGGTTTCTGTGTCAACATCAGAGAAGACGTGTAATAACACAACAATTTCACCCGTCAGGAGGTGCATATCCGACGTGACACTGCATGGAACTACAAAAGCAAAAACGTCCAAAAAAACTTCTCCTAACTTCACCTAAGAGAAAGAGAGAGAGAGAGAAAATCCCTGAAACAATTCTGCCTTCAGTTATTACCGTCGCCTGGGAGAGGAGGCGGAGATAACATCTCCAGCTTTTAAACTTAAAAGCAAAGACAATTTACAAAACAAAAAGCAAAGAGCTTTTTAAGGGTCAGTGCAGGCTCTTCTAAGCGGAACCTTCGCCTGGGAGAGGCCGTCCCTTTGATAAGGGGAGGGTAATGGGCTCCACACTCAGAGCAGCCCAGGACTTCTCTACCTGACAGGCTTCTTTCACTCCCTGCAACTCAGGTTTCTCCTTCTCCTCGTTTGTGTTCCAAACACACCGCAGCAGGAGAAAACAGAGACTGAGAAATGTTTGATGAAATCAGGGATTGGTTTTGTAGTGTAGTACATTACATTTAATGTTCAAGAAAATTGTCATCCAATGGTGTGTTATGTACGTAGTATTAAAGTTCATATGACATTTATTCCATATATGGTTATTGTCTTAAATTCTTCTTAAATACAATTACCTTAGATGAAGAATTAAAATCGTCAATAAATCAAAAACTATATCCAATGCATTGTCTTAAATTCTTCTTAAATATCTTAGTTTATCTTAATTACCTTAGATGAAGAATTAAAATTGTCAATAAATCAAAAACTATATCCAATGTTGATTCCATTAGTTTTAAAAGAAAAGACAATATCTTCAAAACAGAATTATATATTTTTGTGGTTATTTCATGATTAGAATACAGTTTTATATCAAACAAAA